AGAGTTCACTGCAAGGTAAATGTAGCCATTACACAAACGCATCAGTGTACTTACTTTGAAACCACAGAAGTGATTCGTCAGCATTCATTAGAGGCTGGACGATTTTTTTGCTTCGTCAAGGCAGCCCACTTCACAAGAGGACATCAATTCAAACTTCCTACTGTAATAATAGTGATTGAGGGAATCACTGTTTTATGATTATTTGCCATTCTTATAAATCAAGGAAACACAATAGGACCATGAATTTTCCCATCCTTCCAACCAGTAGCTTAAATGCCAGCGTGTTCACCAATTACAGTTGAATCATTTCTCCATTGAGGAACCCTCAGCCAAGGCCCCATAAGTCATCGGTAGATTGCCTCTTGACGGATGAACAAAAGCTGCGGGAGAAAGTGTCCGCCTAGGGGGGCATTTGTAATGTGTGTAACAGAGTCACTTGAATAACTATTATTCCAATACCATTTCAGACAGACATGAACCTGTGTCATTGCTGAATTAAGCTACAGGCAAACTAAAAGCAAAGAAGGACATCAAATTATTCAATAAAATGTTAAAACTTTACTAAATACAACCTACAGGTGATACTGTCTCTTTCTTCCTCTTTTGCTATACATGAAATAAAATGAGTATCCAATTGCTTATTATAGCCTACAACATGTACTCGTAGTTTAGAGCTTGTGAATGATGGTAAAGATTTAAATCTTTCTCTACAAACATTTTTGCCTGAAAGTTGACAGGAAAGTAGGAGCAATATTACGTAATCATGTACGAAGAGAATTTGTCCCAATCAATCGGTCAGTGGCAGCAGTTCAAAATTTTCAAAATACAAAGTTATTTCTCGTGACTATCTCCCAGACAGAAAGGAGAGGAAAGGTGAGGTTAGAACTCTGGCAAACAGACGTTAAAGTTTCACAACTTGAATCCCGCTGGAGTCCCGACAATTGATGCTTTCTTTCAGCAGCTGTCACCACCCCACGGCTCTGCCTCTATTATGACTGTGGCATGATGAGTTGTTCTGCAAACCTTGCCTGACGTCGCTCGACAGTGAAGCTGTGCCAGATGTATTAGTCTTCCTTAATGGCCTTTTTCATGAAGAAACTTCTGAACTGGCATCTCAAGAATCCAATCCTTTTCTTCGGCTCGTACATTAAGAAATACTTTAAAAGACTAGTCCAATGACAAGGAATTCACACTTTTCTGTTTTAACTTATGGGCGTATTGAAGTGTTGTTTTGAGCGACCGAGCTGCGGGTTTGTGTATCTGTTTGCCAGGACAGAGTAGGTTGACAGCACATGGGTGGGAATATTGGCAGGCAGAAGGGAAAAGGTCCCAGAATCTTGCCAGGAGCAAACAGGAATTAGAAGTGGACATGGGGGAATTCAGGAATTCAGAGTACTGCCTTTTTGATCTGCATTTTCTACATGAAATATGTGAAAATTTGATCTCTGTACAACTGTGTGTTGGAATAAAGTTCAACCTTTTACTATGATTACTACCAACACAGACGAACTTTCATGATAATCTGAAATACATGTAGCTGTCTAACAGGCTTTAAACCAGATGCTAACTACATGTATACGTCCAACCCTCGGAAGACAGGAACACCAGACAATAAACCAGATGAGAGTTTCACAGCACAAAACATTTACGACATCCACAAAACTTGCAGCAGCGAGCCAGTTTCGCCGTTCTTTTTAAACAACCGGCAGCGGTGCCTGCAGCAAATTTGGAAAGTGCGACACAATTCTCCCTCGCAAACCCAGAGTATCTCCATACATCATCAAATCAACATCAGTATTGGTACAGAGGAAATGTCCATCCATCCTGCCCTAACCATTCCCAAACTACACTTCTTACTACCAATACATCGTTTAAGTTCTGGTCCGGCCATTTGCTAGATATGGCGACCATATATCTTGGTTACCCTCACGATCCGTGACGCGATATTTTCCAGATGCCTACAAGAAGATAGTTATGCAACTTACTTCAGTAATGTTCTGATAAATCAATATACCTCTGGCAGCATTAGATAAAACAACATGGCACATCTAGTTCGCTGGTCATCAAATGTGGCCAATAACCATTGAAGCCATCACTTTTTATTGTGCTGTAGGCGTCCAACTGACTTTCCAAGTTTATACCTTGTACATTTATAGAAGAAAGCGGAGGTATCCCTGTCGTAAAGAATGTTTCAATGATTTATTATCTTGTTGGGGAAGGGAGTCAGGAAGATTTCTTCTTGACTTTCTGTCCAAATGCGAACTCTATATCAGTGCCCAGAAGGCGCGTTGTAGAGGTGACACGTACAAACATCATTCATAATTGACACGCAGGTCCCAGTTGAGACAGCCCGCACATCACGACCGTTTGTCAAAGTCGCTCTAATTTGTGACTTTGGCTTTTCATTTTGACATCTGTCTCCGAATCATCGCGTCATCAATCACGCTAACTCCCCGCAGACGAAAGAAGTGTATTAACATCTTTCTCTCAACGTCTTCCCAATTTGGTCGACAGCAACTTTGCCTCATGCCACCTTCCCCAAACTATCATCCCATCCGTCTTGCCTTTACCTTGTTTATTACCAGCGTTATAGACCTGACAGCTATGGGGGTGCTAAATTGTTTAAGACCTGACAGCGTTTTCAAAGTTCTAATGCTCCGTACATAATGAACAAGGCAGTTTCTCGGGTGCGGTACACTGGGGGATTAGGGTATAATCTATGACGGACATTAGCGTTGTGAGGAAGGGTTCATAAATCTTTGTAAACTGGAAGAAAGGCGCTCCCTGTATGATTCAAACAATTTAACAACACCTCCGAAAGGTGTCGGTCCTCTGGGGAAGTCATTCATGGCAATTTATGGAATGTTCCATCTTTGTGGGTAACTGTCCTCGTAGGACCAGTGGCTTTGTTTCAAAACCGAGCGGGAGACCGCAATATTACTTTGCGGCTCACAAAGACATAGCCGTAAATTCCCGGCGGACAGGTAGAGTGGGTAGACATGAGGGCAGCGTGTCAGTATCCGGTTACCTCAAAAACAGCTTTTCACTTGCTAATGACAGGTGGAAGTTAGACAGCACCAGCTACTGTAATTCACTTAATGTTCACGGTAGAAAAAGTTCACAGTCTGAGGAAAATGGAGGTGTTCACAGAACTATATGTTCATGGTGGAATCAGGTGCAGAAAAAAAGAAAGTCACCAATTTATTTGTTAATGGTAAGGATAGTTTTAAAGTGACTTAGAAAACTGTGAACATAAAAGTACCGTGAACAAAATCAGCAATTACAGTATTTATAATACTAGTACCACAATATGGAAAATATCTTGACATTTTGTGTAATCTACATGGTTACAACAATGTGAACACAGCTTTCTGTGTAATCTTAAGATAATTAATTTGTATCTATTGATTTGTATTGGGTGTTGAGTTATATTGCTTTATAATGTGTAGTGTACAACATCAGTTTAATTTGATGCCTGGTGCTTCACAGTGTATTGTGTTATAACAATTTGTATACAGAAAAAAAGAAAGAAAAAGACTTTCAACTTTTCATTCAATAAATGAAAAGGAAAATACTAGTACTCTTAATGATACACTTCTATGAATCTCTGTTATTGAGATAGTGGCGTAGTGGGATTTAATTTGGTGCCAGGTGTAACAGGCCAGAATATACCCCTTACTAAAAATATACCCCGGGGATATTCAAACAGGTATAATCTGGTCCGTTACACTGGTTCCCGATGACCACTCAAAAAAGAAAAGTCAAGGTCCTTCCCATACAGGGCCCATCCCCATTTCTATAGCCCTTGGGCCACACAATTTTGTGCAGCCTGGAGCCCAGCCTTGTTAAGGTTTAGGCCACTCCCCTGGTCCGTTTGTTCGGAGAGGAGTGGTTCTTTGAAAGCAGACTTAAGCTAATAAGGCTGGACTCCGGGATATTAGGCCATTGCAACATGATTAGAACACTGACCAGTACACTGACCTATATGTAATGGTCCCCACAACGCAAAAATAGGTAGATATATGAAGGAATGCTTTGCTATTACTAGTGTTAGAAAAAATACCAAAACTTGTGATTAGCCCACTCGATTGCAACAATTTTATCAAAGACTTGTGCTATCCCTTATTACTTGAATAATTATGATATAGATATGTTAGGTTTTATTCGACATTAGGTCTTATTCAACACATTTATTTTATTGTTTGTTACTCTCTTTATGTAGTTTGCCATGCATTGTACCATGTGCAATTGTCGTGCAATAAAGTTCTTCTTCTTTATGTCTGATACCAGGGATATTTCAGCAGGGGTATCTTCTGAACTTGATTCACAGGTTCTAACCCCCATACAGTGAATATGCAAAAATGCAAGAAAAACCGTGAAGAATGGGGGTATTACACAGGCGCAGTATGATCTGCCGACATGACCATGGGGCATTTCAACAGTGGTTACATTCTGGCCTGTTACACTGGTTCTATCCCCCATTACCATGACACTGACCTATATGTCTGGTACCAGGGTCATTTCAGCAAGGGTACATTCTGGCCTGTTACACAGGTTCTGACCCCCATACAGTACTAGTATATCTTTGGTACCATGGATGTTAAAACGGGGTACATCCTGGCCTGTTACACTGGTTCTATCCTCCATGTCAAGTATACTGACCTATATCTCTGATACCAGGGGCATTTCAGCAGTGGGTACATTCTGGCCTGTTACACTGGTTCTAACCCCCATGTCCAGTATACTGACCTGTATGTTTGCTACCAGGGGTACATTCAACAGTGGGTACATTCTGGCCTGTTACACTGGTTCTATCCCCCATGACCTTGACACTGACCTATATCTCTGATACCAGGGATATTTCAGCAGGGGTACATTCTGGCCTGCTACACACTCAGGTTCTAACCCCTTTACATTATATCTTTGGTACCATGGATGTTAAAACGGGGTACATTCTAGCCTGTAACACTGGTTCTATTCCCCATGACCTTGACACTGACCTATATCTCTGGTAGTCCTCCTCATCCTTGTCCTCTGCTGACAGCTCGTTAGGACAGGCGACATTTCCCAGCAGGCTGAGGTAGGTCAAGTTTGGACAGCTGCTGTCCAACTTATCCAGGAAGTCCTCTAGATCTGTAATGTAGCTGGCGGTTAAGGAAAACATACTTTTCAACATTCTCAGTACTTCATAGCTATATCAATAGTCAAATCAAGGCAGTTATATTACTTAATATTACTAAGAGCTATTTGATACTTTAAAATTAGACAAGATATGTAACAGTGTTCGAAATACCTGCCTGCAGTCTGCAATCTGCAGATAGATTTTCAAGATTGCAGAAGAAAAAATTATACAATCTGCAATTTTGCAGAAGGAAAAATAGGCTCCAGATTCATTAGTTTTCAATTTAGCAAACTAAAACTCCCAGGCCCCAGGGACAGACTGTTCTGAAACAACAGGAGCTTCTTCACTAATTTGCATCATCCTTGTCTTGACTTGTCTAACTTTTGTTTCCTTTTGGACTTCCAAAAAATTGTCTTCACCAATTTGCATATCAATCCATAGTTTATGCTTATAAACCTGAAATTCTCCTGCAGTCCAGTAATGCTACTGTACAGATTTACAAAGCTATATATGATGCAAAAAAGGAATTATTGGTTTGAGAAGGTTGTAGTATGGAGGCTTGTGTATTTGCAGAAAGTATTTCCAATTTGCAGAACAAAATTTTGACTCTTCTGCAATATTGCAGAGTACTGAAAAAAAGAAAAAAAGAAATGTCAAAGCAGGACATGTTTAAACACTCGATGACATACAAGAACTAAATGTACAGTAGACAAACTATGTAATTATGTTTCCAAATGTTTCAAAAAGAGAGAAGAAAGGGCAACTAACAGTAGATGATAGGTAGTATATAGTATTGTAGTAATGTACAGATTCCTACGTAGCACTTTGCATTAGAATATAGCGTTCCAGTATGCAACACTCATGTTGTGCATACTGCATGTCGTCTTGTGCATTTAGCCCATCTGGGCAAGAACATGTAATAAAGATTCATATCATATCAGTAAATCATTTTTTAAAAATTTTAATCTCCTTGGGCTTGATATCACTGGTCCCTTTCCTCTTTAAAATTAATATCTATTATTTTGTAGCTCCTGGCAATCTCCTTTTTGAATCCCCTTCTTTATCATGCAAGAGAAAGTACAACAGCTGTCAAGGAGGTCATGTAGCAAAAACACCTGCTCTACCAGATGAAGCAATTAATGACTTTCCCTCCCTAAACCCAACTTATCCATTACAACCTGACCTAATAATATTATTAAGGACCATGCAGAAACACAGACACACACACGGACACACACACAGACATACCAAAAACAATACCTCCATTTTTTATGGAGGTAAATACTCCCCATCAGTAACAAGTACATTACTTAAACTCCACAACTAGTGCTGCATACCTAAACCCACATTTAGGTTCAGGTCCAGATTCAAGTCCAGAGGTTTAGGTTCAGGAAACATACAAAATTCCATGTTGACAACCTTGCAATATTGTCAGGGTGAAACTTTGACCACAATAACATGGAGGCCAACACTTGACGATGCCCGATGTATGTTTTCTTCATTTTGCAGCAAAGTTTTTGCAATCTACGGATGGTTTTAGGTGGTTTCGAAAGAAAAGAGGTATGTGAAATGGTCTTTTATGGTAATAAGTCCGGACTCGGTTCTTGACTTTTAGGTTATCTTGGACTTGAACCTAAACATTCTTACAAGTCCGGATCCAAGTCCAGTAAACCGGTATGCAGCACTATCCACAACCATAGCCAAACTTAACCAACAGCTAGGCCACGTCAATACAAGGTCAGAACTTGCACTCTACAGCCACCTCGTGTATTTACAACCAGGCCTGCAGATCCAAGGAGTCAGGGGAAGTTGAAACAACATCAGCTTTACGCACCAGTGATGGCCTGTGTGTGTTTTACTACCACATTATTCCTTCCTCAAAGCAGTGCCGCGGACTGGTCACAGGGAGTCCAAACGACTTCCCACGGAGGCTACAATAGGGGCATTAGTGTTTTACAACTGGGATAAACGGATTAGGGGTTAGTTGTCTGCACCAGAGATGCCCTTGGGGTTGCGGCGGGGTGCAGCGGCGGTATATTGTCCCGACGTTTATGAGGAAAGATCGGATGCACCAACAAGTACTGAGGGGCTGGACCTAGCCTCCTTAGCAGGTATTTCCGGTGCAGTCACTGTTTTTATTTTGGGAAGACAGTCTCAGAAGTGCAAACTAGAAAGGTAACATTTTCGAAGCAAATGCGTAATGTTTACCTTCACATACACGTACATTGTACGTGTATGGTCTGTTCTCACTGTTAATTCTTCCTCAAATACATTCATATGTATGGTCAGACAGGAGCATAAATCCCTACTACTATAAAATTGCAACATTATGTAACCCAACACCAGTTACCATGGTGAGAGACGTCAACAAATCAGGTCATTGGCCAGGTCAGAGGTCAGTGTTTGGAATGGAAGAAGTTAGAGGCAACGTAGCAAAAACGATATGTTTTCCTTCGGTAAACATAATTACAAAAGAGTGCAAATCAGTATTGTTTTGTGTGTTTTTGCAGCTACACATTTGTATAACTCACGGAAGTTTTGACAGTTTTCTTTCATTTTTGGTACTAGTACTTGATTAGTTCTTGGGGTCAGGATGATGCAGCTTGTTTTTTTCTTCGTACAAGTATTTTCAAGGCCACACAAATTTAAATTCTTGGTTAACGGATTCGCCCGCTTCATTTTTTTCTGATTTGCAAAAAAAAAATAAAAATTCAGAATCAACTGCAAAATGCTCATATTTTGCCCTGAACAGTTGAAAACAGTCCTTTTCTTCCTAGTTGTTACAGTTATTCCATCTTTCAATGCAATGGTATCATTAAAAGTTCAAAATTCATTGTTTAGATTTTGAACCAGCCTGGTGTGTTGACTTCGTGGCTCCTATTGTACCATTTTGGGCCATAATAGGATGCCTAGGCCTGTTTTTATTTTTATTTTTTTCGCCCGCCCACACTATTATTTTTCCAGAAAAATTTGTTAACCAAGACATTAAATTGGTGTGGCCCAAGTATTGAAATAAAATAATTTGACACCCCCATGCTGTATGAGAGGTGGTATAGTCTGTTCTCAACAGCTCTTGTCCACCGTAGGAGTTAAGCCATGTGGGACTAATGGGCTATACCACACTACTTTCAGGCAGGGATGGTTTAAGCTTTGACATTAATATGTTTAATGTCATGTTTGAAAATTGTGCAAATATATACTTCCCAGAGGTTTATGATCTTAGATTTTTGTTATAGTCGCAAATTTCATCACATTTATGTCACATAAACAACATCATTGAGTTAAATATTCTATAGCAACTGCATGTTGGCAGGTTTCCACATTGAATCTTTGAGTCCTATAATTACAATTGGGACCCTCCAAACAGTTCTAAAGTCTGCCTAAATTAGACATAAATAACTTGTGAGTCCCGTATTAAGTCTCTGATTAAGACTATACCCATCTGTTCTTTGTGTTCAGCTGCTTGCAGAATTGTATATTAATCTTTGGTACTTAATTACATTCATTACTACAGTGAAGGTTATATATTTGGTTAGTCAGATAAACAATGATTAAAGAAATATGAAAAATGGGAAATATTTTTCTTCCCTTCTAGTTTTCAACTTTTTTCATGTCTTTTTCATTGTCTACTGGTATTAACCAGGGCTCTAGCCAGTACCCATTTTTCTGTCAATTCAGGAACTTTGTGACTTGTGATGGAAAAATTCAACCATTCTGTCAACCTTGATGGACAAAAATTTTTGGTACAAGCATCCAAAGGGCCACCAACAACAACTCTCAACCCGATAATTTGCCTCGCAAACTTTGCGTGTTCACTGGCTTGAAATCCATAATTTGACCCTGGACCCTAGCCTCCTTCGCAGACTTGTTGGGCGTCAGCATTATTTTTTTTTTTTGTGAGCGACACGAGTAATATTGCTGCAGAGGGAGTTTTTGCCATGGAGAGAAGGATTCGCGCTCCAACAGAAAAAATTCCTCTTTCCGAGGCAAAAACGTCGGCAGCACATTGTCCCTAGCGGCGGCATATTGCTCGCGTCGCCAACGCCTAACAAGTCTGCAAAGGAGGCTACCTGGACCCCTTGATAGTGAGCACTCTCCCCCAAGTCCGATCATGAACCTTGGATGACTGAAAAAAACTTTTCCATACATTCAGCTCAACCTCGTATCTGCTTGAAGATTAGGCTCTGATTCTTGCTTGGTGAAGACTTGTGGTCTAATTTCTCGATTTCGTCAAAGTTTGAAAACTTTCTCCGGTTCTGACTTGCTTTAGTTTTAGTAGTACTTTGAGTGAGAAGTTTTTTGGCTTTTTTTTTCAGACAGGGGCCCATCTGTCTACCCGCCAATCCTGCCTGTCAATCACTCCCTAATCCACCCCGCACAACTCTGAGCTTCACTTACAAAATTAGCAATCAATTCTCATTTCCACCCAAGTTCAAAAACTTTCTACAGTTCTGCCTTGCTCTAGTTTCAGTACTTTGAGTGAGAAGTTTTTTTTTTTCTTTTTTTTTTCAGACAGGGGCCCATCTGTCTACCCGCCAATCCTGCCTGTCAATCACTCCCTAATCCACCCCGCACAACTCTGAGGTTCACTTACAAAATTAGCAATCAGGCTGCTGGCATCGTCAATTAGCCGAGGAACCGACGCAAGAACAGCAAGCACTCCAGGCGACTTGTCACTTCCGCATACGGCACACCTCGTTTTTCATTGTCAAAGTCTCATAATAATTTCACTCTCCAAGTACCACGGGAATTCCGCGAAGCCTGACAAATTTGAAAAGGAGAGGTGCAAAATATTTGTTTTCTTCGTGTGAGGGTTTAGCTCGGGGACATTTGGATGCCTCGCTGAAGATCTGTCTAATCCGTTAAAAAGTAGCACGTCATTTATCTGGGTACCGAACTACAATATCCCCCGCACCAAGGGAATTGGCGGTGGTATGGAAAATCGATGGGAAATATTTCATTTTCAGAGCTGGAAGCTGCGCGGGAATCTTTTCAAGAGAATGAACTGTTTATCACACCACCCCGCGAGGTGCCGCCATCATTCTTTCTCCGAAAAATTACATTAAGTATAATCCAGGACTTAATTGAACACTTTGCTATAATGCCAACATGTGTGAACACAAAGAGTTATCAACTTTAGGGGAGAGAACACTTTTCACATAATGGTTTAGTCCATATATATTAGGCAAAAGGGGAGTGTAGTACATGTATTATATCTTGCACATACTTTTTCTCTGACTCTTTGGAGGGCTTGGACTAATGCCCCTTACAGGCCACACCAATTTAATTTCTTGGTTAACGGATTCACCCGCTTCATTTTTTTCTGATTTGCAAATAAAAATAAAAATTCAGAATCAACTGCAAAATGCTCATATTTTGCCCTGAACAGTTGAAAACAGTCCTTTTATCCTAGTTGTTACATTTATTCCATCTTTCAATGCAGTGGTATCATTAAAAGTTCAAAATTCATTGTTTAAATTTTGAACCAGCCTGGTGTGTTGACTTCATGGCTCCTATCGTACCATTTTGGGCCATAATAGGATGCCTAGGCCTGTTTTTATTTTTATTTTTTTCTCCCGCCCGCTTTAATATTTTTCTAGAAAAATCTGTTAACCAAGAAGTTAAATTGGTGTGGCCTTAGATCAGAATATCAATATAAAAACAGACTGGGGAAAAAAAAAATCTCTATCTGTATACAGTTTTAGGGACTGAACAGACTTTGATGCCACTTTTCCTCCTAGCCAGGTGTTTTAATACAAAAGTAGTCTTTTGCTGAAACTTTTTAAAAAAATGAGAATGCTTAGAACCAAAGAATTACAATGTATAAAAGATTGGCCTTATCTTGTTGAATTTTTAAAAACATTTTTGAAATCATCTTTGATCAAAAATAAGTGGAATCTCAATATTTTTCAAAAATTGTGTTTGGAAAAGTGTGGTGATAGTGGTTCAACTTACACTTTTCACACATACAGGATGGAGCCCAGCGGTCATATGAGGCCAGAAGTCCCAAAGTCCCAACTTGGACACTTACTGGAAGGGACTATACATGCCCGTAGCCAGGATTTTGAACAGGGGGGTTCTTCCCACTGCTTGAGGGGACCTCGAGCGCCGTAGGAGCGAGGCGAGTGCCGAAGGCGCGAGGTTCCTAGGGGGGTTCGGGGGCATGCTTCCCCGGGAAATTTTGAAAAATGAACCTTCTAAAATGGCATTTCGTGCATTTTTGAGAGGATTTCCAAGAAAAAAATCAGAGATAAATTTTTATTCAATGACAAAGGGAGCAGTTTTTCTACAATTCCAGTCCATCTTTTCAAGAAAAATCTTGGACCTTTACATAAAATGTGGACCAAAAAGTGGACCTTTACATAAAAAGTGGACCAAAAAGTGGACCTTTGAGCCTTGTGGGCAGGTTCTTCCGAAACCCCCCCCCCTGGCTACGGGCATGATACTACATACATGTAGTTCTCTCTGAGGGGATGTTTAGCCTTTGGCCCCAGGTATGAAGGAAGTGTCAGGTGTCAAACCTCTACACATCAAAGAACCTACCACATTTACGAAGACATTACCAGCTTAAACAGGCTTTTACAGCTAAGCTGATCAGGTTCCAAAGGATGTGGCCACTACCTGATTTAAAAAAAAAAAAGTATTACTGTCTGATTTCTTTGAAAAATGGAAATCTATAAGTTCACAGGAGGGCCTGCAAGGGGGGGTAGTGATTACGAATTACCCAAAATTTTCGCCGCCTATTACAAATTACGTTAAAGTCTCAGAGCTGATTACGACTTTACGATTTGCGGCTAATGTCCAATTACGAAATACGTTGATTTTTGTGGAGGCTGCCTACGAATTACGAAGTCTAAAACGGCCTGATTACGCCTTACGAAAAAGGGCTTGCAGGCCCTCTCACAGGTGAATTTGGGACACTTTTAAAAAAGGCACTGATCAGAAGTAATATCCTGCATTTGCTATCAAATGTTTGCTTTCTACTTAATTTTCTGAAACAGCATCTTCTGTCTTTGTCAGGAAAAGTGTGATCTAATCGCAGATACGTAAGTTCTGCATGGAGTAAATTTTTGGACAACACACTTAAAAAAGGCGCTGATCAGAAGTAATATCCTGCATTTGCTATCAAATGTTTGCTTTCTACTTAATTTTCTGAAACAGCATCTTCTGTCTTTGTCAGGAAAAGTGTGATCTAATCGCAGATACGTAAGTTCTGCATGGAGCAAATTTTTGGACAACACACTTAAAAAAGAAACTGATCAGAAGTAATATCCTGCATTTGCTATCAAATGTTTGCTTTCTACTTAATTTTCTGAAACAGCATCTTCTGTCTTTGTCAGGAAAAGTGTGATCTAATCGCAGATACGTAAGTTCTGCATGGAAAGAAGTCTCAGTCAGCAGTCAGCCACTTCAGTGAAGAAGATTGAATGCCCCAGGACAAAAAAGATGCTCTGTCACACCGCTAACTCTCGCTGCCAAAGACCCCATCCTTCATGTTCACAGCAAGTGTCGTTAAATGATCTCCACCAAGTCTCTAGCAGACTGGCAGCTGTGGCAGGGCTCTACATGTGGCTTCGCGATGAAACAAACTGATATTCACTGTAATCTGGGTGTAACAGTTTGATACCGATAGAAAGACATTCACTATATATTAGACACATAGAAAGATACAAATATAGAGACTAGGAGAGTGCACAGAAGTATAGGCTTCTTAGCCATTAGGCCATACCAATTTAATTTCTTGGTTAACGGATTCACCCGCTTCATTTTTTTCTGATTTGCAAATAAAAATATTCAGAATCAACTGCAAAATGCTTACATTTTGCCCTGAACAGTTGAAAACAGTCCTTTTTTATCCTAGTTGTTACAGTTATTCCATCTTTCAATGCAGTGGTATTATTAAAAGTTCAAAATTAATTGTTTAAATTTTGAACCAGCCTGGTGTGTTGACTTCATGGCTCCTATTGTACCATTTTGGGCCATACTAGGATGCCTAGGCCTGTTTTGTTTTTTTTTCACCCGCCTGCACCATTATTTTTCTTGAAAAATCCGTTAACCAAGAAATTAAATTGGTGTGGCCTTAGCTTCATATATTCTGATTTCTACCTGTCACAATTCATCATCTGGCATTGTTATTTAGAAAATAAATAATTTGATGTAGCTTGATGCTTATCAACTTGAAGAAACTTACAATTCCTGTTAGGAATCTACATGACTGTAAAAATTATTTCTAGATCTGTATATAGACAATAAAATGATGTGTCACAAAATTTTATCACTTTTTTCTTGAGCTAGAGTCACAACCAAAATTTCAACCAAAATTTAACCAAAATTTCAACCCAAAAAAGAATCAAGTAATTCTTGAGATATTCTGCGTACATGTCTACAAGAGATCACCTCTAAAGTGTGTATATAAGGGCCACTTGACCAATGTGATCACTTTTTTGTGGTCCCCTTTGATAATATTTCCCAATGTCACAACCATTAAGCGTCCTGTCTATAGTGACCACCTGTCTGCATCGACCAGATTTCATCAAACCCCCTGAGTGGTCTTCTTGGTCAGTTTTGTCTGCGTTACGTAATTCGGGCACAGCGGTGTGTCCCAAAACCCCTCGCCTAGCCTCCTGCCCTGCCCATGCTCCCCAGCCATCCCCATCCATCTGCTTCATAGCAGCACAAATATGACAGCTTCATAACGGGGCGAGCCTGTTAGGGACCCACAAAAATAAATGATTCATTCCCCCATTTCCACATGATTAATTGCGTTGCCAACGGCACACATCTTCATGAATATTCAGACAGGTGCATTAGGACGGTCTCCCGAGACCCGGTTACTGTCCTATCTCTTCAACTTCACGCTACCACCTGCACAAGCTTATTTCCCCCTCCAACATCCATCAACGGCCCCTGCCAAAACGGGACGGACCCCTCTGCTCCGACATCCATCTTCCCACTACTGGAGATTCCCTAATTAATTAAATAATTAGACGGCCACAATTAATGCCTCTCAGGGAAATCTTTCACGACGTGCCGAGCGGAGCGGGGGAAATCACCCTTGACTGTGACAGATGTCCATAATTTACCCCCTTTGCACATCTCATTGCGTCTGTCAGGGCCGCTGCCGCTTGACGAAGAAAGGATATTCTATTTTTGTTGATCATTAGCGTGTGAAGCGTTGGTAACCGTGGTAACACGAGCCCGTTGTCGAGCGCGTTGTTGTCCACGATCAGTTCCTCCAGCTCCGGGAACGATGACAAACCGTCCAGGGACCTGCGGATGACAGACATAAGGGGAAACGGTAAATCAGCGGACACAACGCTGCTGGCGCAAACAAATTATTCCAATTTGAAGCTGACAGAAGTAGAGGAAAATTTGTAGGATTTGGGGGGATTACTCCTTTGGCTCAACAAATTCAATGAAAGTTGCAGTAATGAGATCATTTTTCTCTATCTGGAGGCAAATCCCCGGGAAAGTGAAAGCGTACGGCGTCTGCCCTCGCGGGCCGTCGCATCCTCACGCAACGACAGAGAGTGAATCTTCATCCCAAAGGTCACGACGTTCCCAACAAAAGCTCATAGTTTTGTCAGATATGAATGGCCGGCTTTCAGGTCATCACTCAAGTGTCATGGGAAGTTGCCTGAGTTCTTAATATTTTCCAGCTAACAACCTGATCTTTCTGTACTCAAACTTGGTCCTAAACCAATCTCACATCTTTTTCACATACTTTTTTTTTATCATGACAATGATACGAGATACAATTTCACTGCAAATCAGTGTTGCCACTGAAAAACCAATTTACAATGAAAAATGAATGAATGAGTGAATGAATGAGTGAGTGAGTGAGTGAGTGAGTGAATGAATGAATGGAGAAATGAATGAGTGAATGAATGAATCAATCAATCAATCAATGATCTATATTGCTTGACAGATGTACATGGTACAAATTACAATGTATGGCAACAATGACAATCTGCTAATCAATACATTTACTAGTCTAAATTCTAAATACTACCGGTACAACTACAGGAATATGAACATAGATCACCTATTGACATAATGTATGTCATCCATATAATCAAATCAACATGGCCTTACTTAAAATAACACTTACACTGGTAGGACAGACAGAAGTTCAATGTATGAAGGGACAGACCTGGTACAACTACTGAAATATTAAATGGAAACTGGACAAAAACTCTACAGAAGGAGGAAAAACGAAAAGACAAGAATTCATACAAGTCTCAGAAGTCTACAATCATGGACAACACATCACTCACTCACACACTCACTCACACACTATCCGTTAAACGTCTCAACGTAACATATCATTATTACATTGCAGTTTTGCATTTCATAACTTTTCAGTCTTCAAAGTTTATAGTCTGATTTGTCTTCTGTTAAAGCTTAAGCTATGCTTAAAACTATTATATCTCTATGTTTAATATGGTGCAACAATGGATGGGTGTAAGCATAAAAGGGACAACGTTATGGAGCAATATTTATACATGACTGTCATTCCTAAATACAGTTCTTAAAAGTAGGTAATCCTAGACTAGTAGTTCAGTGTTTACTTGTATCAAAAACAGACAGAAGAAAAAAATATTTGAAGGATCTACACTACTTTACTACTGGTAAGATCAAAACGACATCAACATAATGAGTATCAGGATGACAGTAAACTTTATAGGTGGCAGAAATACGAGCATAAACGCTTGCCAAAATCAACTATATTTCTGGGAAAGATGTTTGGGGGGTGAAACGGGGGAACGGAAGCCAGCGGACCCCATGCTGCGGCCCGATGCCAAACCCACGACCTGCCAGATGGCGATTTCAACAGCTTCCCGACCCTGCTTGTTTCAACAGTTCCAGACGCTGGTGTAGCACAACAATCATACACGGAGGCGTCTTTGAACTTCTTAGTTACGGGGAGGAGTGATTGGAGCAGTCGTAAATATGATGGAGTGATTTATGGTGGGGATTCCCGTGACGGAGTAAACGAGGCTTGGGATGACTTCCAGAAGTTACTAAACAGCTTCCGCCACCCTAGTGTAAACTCTGAGGTTTTGTGGGGGAGGAAATGTTATACCCTGGTATCACACCACAAATCATATGGGGGTCTGCATGGGGGGGTCCCGCCAACACTCTACGCTAAATTTTGAGAGCTGACTACGTATTACGCTGAATTCGGGAAACCTCACGATTACGCTTTACGATAAATTCCAAGTGGCTGCAACGCATTACGTAGAATTAAAATGGCGAATACGCTGTACGCAAAATGCGCCGATTGCGCTCTACGTTGAATTAGAGCGGTCCGTCTATGCTCTACGTGGAATTAAAACGGCCGATTACGCTCTACGGAAAAGAGCATGCGGTCCCCCCTGTATCTGTATCTGTATAGCCGGTATAACCGCCTTTCGACATAACACACCAGCTTCGCAGGCACGCGGCGCGGCGGCAGCTGGCTACATTACACCGATCGACTTGTTACACCTAGCCCTTAGACATCTAACTCTAGACATTGTTTAAAGCTATCTAATGACAATGACCCTGCTGTACTTGGTGACTGCGAGTTCCCTTCTGCGATAGTTCTAGGAAAGAATGAATTCTTGAACACCTCAATCTTTGGTTGATAATTCTGATACTTGAAGGCATGGCTACTTCTTGTTCTCTTCTGGGCTGGTATTAGGTACTTTAGGAAAATTTGAAAAATCTGGCTTTCGTGCCCTAAAAACTGCATTGGGTACCTTTAAATCTTGTACCACTACTTCCATATAGTTACTGATTGATGTAAACATATTTTCTGGGGGAAAAGGAAAAATGAACTTCATCTTATTTAATGGGTTGACCCATTCATTGCTAAATCTTGCATGTCTTGGGCACAGTTGGGTGTAAGAACTACATTTGTATGCTCAACTCTACTTTAGTTTGATACGCACCAATGTACATTAAAAACTACTCTCCAGGCAGAATTAATTGCCCACTTTTTAGGCATTTTGTCATACTTTTATTATTGTTGGTTACCCAGCAAACTGAGCAAAGAAAAGCTAGTAATATTAATAAAAGCTGATAATTATAAATAATTTTGTCAAAGAAATACAGTAGACAACTTCTGTTTCTCTAGAGCAGTGTTCCATAAAATTATAGATAGCCTGAAATTTTTTCTGTCATGTCTGTCAATTCTGTTTGGCGTAAATGATGTTGAGAGTGGAACATGACTAGGAATCCTAGGGGGGTTCGGGAGTATGGGTCCAGGAAATTTTGACCCCCTAAAAGTAAAATGCTATTTCCTGCATTTTGAGGTACGCTAAGCTTTTTGCTGGTAAACTAACCTTAGTTGATATACGCTGATTTTCGTCTGTCACAGATGGATTAGGCAAAATTTTTTCTGTCACGAGCAGCAAAATTTTATCCAAAAAAGAAAGATGGAAGCTGGCTAGAACACTGCTCTAGAGTGTAAAAATACTGCTTCTATTAACAACAAAAAAAGCACACAGGTAAATTGAAGTGGCAAAACAATCAAATAAGCTACAGTAATCAGGACATTAATTTGAATTAGGAGCATGGCTCCATTATTTAGTACATTAATATCGCGCCTCTTTCTTTCCCCTGATCCCCACAGAAGTATAACTTCTGCCACGGTTCAAAAATTCGCCTAAGTCTCCGGCTTACCCGGATCAATTAATATGCAAGCTGTACAGAGTGTTAAGTTACAGCAACATTAGCAAACAAAGACACCTAAATCCTCGGTGTCATATTCGTCTGATATATGACGCTTTTTGAGTCTAAGCCAGGATGCCGTAATAAAGAAAAACATGTTGCCTATTTGTAGCGAGTGCTGCGCGACTCCGATATACAATGCGCCAAGTGGAGATAATAGTGGGAAGGAGTCTCCCGCTGGGAATAGCTATAGTTTTATTAACAATACAACTGTCAGGGGTGCGCCGAGTTAAAACAACGGAGAGGAATGAAGAGAAATGGCGGTGTCAGCGCGTTTCCGGGGAAATGGGTTCTCGTGGGCACAAATTTCATTTGTACCCTGACAACAAATTTCTTTCCTGATCCCGCGCAACCAATGCCCGATAAGGATAGACTGTTGATATTACACTTCGGTGTAATTTATTTCCGTAGCCGCGGATGAAGATTACGCATTATTGTAGCGAGCTCATATGAGACACAAAGCTACGCGGATAAGCTATGACGGAGTGATATTGTAGCTGGAATGTTATTGTTTAAAGTATGAAAAATGGGCATATCAACGTATCTTGCAATCCAATGTCATGGGGGGAGACTGATGGCTACCCTGGGAAAAGAGATAAAGCAGGATGATCAGAACGTGTTTAGTTGTAAGTCGCGTAAAGCCGCTTCAATCAATAACGACCTAAACATGACAATATAGAAGTTAGCGTGGAGAGACGGGGCTTCTGGGAGCCACGGGGGTGAGAAGTGACAAATGTTGGGGTGCGAGATAGGGAATCTGTTCACAAAGATGCGTGCAAGAGATGAGGGACTACAAAAATGGCTGCTCCAGGTAACATCCGAATAAAAAAAAAACCTGCGCCTGAGCTAGAACTGTATTTGTATCTGTATCGGTATAGCCGGTATAACTGCTCTTCGGCGTAACACACCAGCTTCTCAGGCACGCGGCGCGGTGGCAGCTAGCTATATCACACCGAACGGCTTGTTACACTCAATCTTTGCACATTTGATTGCAGTTGTTTAAAGCTTTCTAGTGATAATGCCCCAACTGTGCTAGGTGGCAACGAGTTCCAGTCTACGATAGTTCTGGGGAAATACGAGTTTTTGAATACCTCAATTCTTGATTGATAACTCTGATATTTGAAGGCATGACTGTTTCTTGTTCTCTTCTGGGCTGGTATCAGATACTTAGTGGTTGGTACGTCCACCAGTTTATTAGTCATTTTGTACATCATGCACTGGAAGGAATTCTGGAAATGTTTTCGGGGCAAGCGAAGAAAAATGTTCCCGTCCGAGCTATGTGTTGTCTTTCCAGATAGCGATCTGTGGTAATATTGGTTTGGAGATGAATGTTGTACCTATTAAGGAGATATGTTAGAGACAAGAGGGGAAAGCTTTATCATGTACAGTTGTAGCGTGTATCACAATGTTAATGGCTATGAAACGGGTGACGCTATGTACTGAGTATATAATGTTACAGGCGCTCCCAGCCCCAAGGACAGACAACACTTAAGCTCCTGTTCTGTATAACAGGAGCTTTCTGACTATTTTGCATTATCTTGTCTTGACTTGTC